TGGTTAACATCACGATAGGAGTGTCAAAACCAATTGTCACGGTATTTTGATCAGAACCCCAAAATTTCTAAAGCAATGGGATCATGTCCCTACCTACAAGATAGCAAAAAGTTATCGAACCAAATGGTACCTACATACTTTAGTTAAATGTATGTAAATAAACTATATCAAAAAATGTTGTGAATTTTCTTAAAAATGCGGATAAACTTTTTCCCCAACCGATTTATAATTGCTAGCAATATTTTAAGTATAAATAAATAAATATTGCGACGGTTAGAATTGAAAGAACAATGGGAGCTATAATTATATTACGTGAAATTCAGAGAAAAAATAAATAATTTTTTTCTATTGAATTTTATGTATTTTGAAGGCGCCAAGACATTTCTCTCAAAGGGAATATTCATTTTTAATGTCGTCACTTATCTTTTCCGCCATCATTATGCCAGCCGCCAAGGTATTGGCTCTGACGATAAAAGGCATGGTGCTCACATCGACAACCCGGAGGTTATCTATACCGTACACTTTCATTTTGCTGTCCACCATACTGCCCATGGCACATGTACCGGAGGAATGGAACAGGTGGACGGTCATGGACTTGATGTAACACTTCCTCACTACTGACGTTCATCTTACCGCATTCTTCCAAGCCGGGATCAGCTATTTCCGCTTTGGTATCTTGGAAATAAGCGGAATTGTAAATAGTTAAAAAATGAGTTAGATACTTCAGCATGTTAATAAAATCTTCGGGATCGGAATAAAATGATTCTGATATAACCAGTTTGTCATCTGGATCTGAACTTTTTAGCTGCATTTTAATTCAAGACCTAAATTAGCCAAATCGGTAAAACCGTTCTCGAGTTTTAGCGAGACTAACGAACAGCAATTCATTTATATATATATATAGATTAAATGTCCACAAACCTCATTTGTCCGGCTCTCGCTACAAGGACCGAGTGACTCCGAACAAAGCTCTATCTCAAATACGAGCGACTTCGATTACTTCCTGCTTTCCGCCAACACCTCTCCGAATAATTAAGAGATCTATTTAAAACAATACAAACAGAACGGATACGCTTTAACTGAAATACATTCTTCAATAACATAGTAACAATTGGATCAATAAATGTCTTATGATCTCATCATAATGGTTTGCAAGATAATGAACGAAAATAAGCATAATAATATGGAAGAAATGATAATACGATATTATTCAGATTTGAAAGCTGTGCAAACATCTCCAAATATATTTTGGCGTTCCTTAACAGAACGGTTCAGATACGAAACCCGCAGCCTTGTCCAATCTATGAGGCCATGCTCCTCAAAAAGCTGACGAATGAACAAGCTCACGCAACACCGGGGTTGAGAAGCTACTGGAACCAATGGACATCATCACGTGAATGCGCCTCGCAGATATCGTTTTTTTATGAGCTTACGCGGGTAGCTACCTCTATTCTGGTATCTGCGTGGGAGCGGTGCGGTGGGTAGCATCGGCGGTGGAGAGGACGCTCCGGAATATCGCAAAGTCTCGCTGTCACCGGAACTCTGCACCGATAATGCGTATCGATGTGACATCCGCGTCGGAGGGAATAATTTTCGGATGAGACTAAAGTACCAGCACTGAGACTCTAATCTCACAAGTCCGTGATAGAGGCGTGTTCTGGCCAATTTGTGAACCTCTCCTGCGCTATTAGGATTGTCAAGGCGGTGCGACTGAGGGTGTTTTATCTTCCCGAAGACGTAGGTACTCACGGATCACGGCTATTTCGGATACCGATGATGGAGTACCATCACTGTGGTTGCGACGAGTAGACGGCCGAGCACATGCTCGCGAACCACCCCGCAGACTGTCCTCATTGTGCAAATGAAACTTGACGCAACTTGCCGCTGCTGACCGTCGCGGCTATAAAACCCTTATCGGTATTCCAACGAGCTACTGACAGCGGTTCTACGGAACCGTTACGGAAAAGCAACCAGTTCGTGGTATATCGCGCTTCCGACCCTGTAAGCTGCCCGGAAAAAACATTACCACTAGAAGAAAAGGGCCGGATTCCTAGGGCAAAGCAATGAAACGCTGCGATTCCAAATGGGACAGGCGCTAAACAATACAATGTTTACCTGCCCTGGTAAAACTGGAAAGGCCTCCGGGCCACCAGTAATCTCTCAAACATAAAAAAGTTCAATTAATCACTAAACGAATGAAGATAGAAGCTAGAACTTTTAGAGCTCTTGCCGGCCATCTTGGTAAAGCAATAGCTGTCAAATTTGGTGTGAACTCACATTTAGTCGTGACATTTCATCATGGAATAAAACACTCTTGTCCGGTGGTATCATTGGTGCTTTTTGAAGATGCGCAAAGTGCCGCGCTCTCTGTCAATGGCGACCGATATCGGACGATGATAACAAACTTTTTGTGGCCTAGGTTTTTTTTTTTTATAAACCCGTTTTCCCCTGACGTTGTCAGAGTTCTTGTAAAACTTGTTTAATGTCTATTGTATATTTATGTATCATTAGCGTAGAGTTTTTGATTTAAAAAAAAATTTTTTTTTCGAAGTAATGAAGTTACACTATTTTTTCCAATAAATTGCTTACCGGACCATATTATTTCTAATAAAGTGGAAGCATGGGTCAGGCTTCTTTATTCCGTTTAATTATTCTCTTTTGGGCTCAGTGGCAACCCATCCTTGATCAGAGGCACGTCCTCGCATCTTTTGGCGGTTCTACCGCTGATCCTGTAGATGCCCTCCTATACTCCCTCCCTGTCCCGCTTCTCGCAGAACCCCCCCCCAAATCTGCGCCTGTGCCCTTTTCACTTGGGACTCATAAGTTTATTTTGCTTGCAGGTACTCCCCGACGACTCTCCGCCTACGAACTGGTGCAGCGCTCCGTATGTGGCGTCTCTTCGGTATGGTAAGTCAGTTTTTGTTTTTTTTTTTTTGTTTTTTTTATGCCTGCTTGTAATTTTGGCTTTGCTAAGATTTTGAGTGAAAATTTCTAATTCCGATTTATTATTAATTTTTGTTAATTTCTATACTATTTATATGATTTATGGCTTTTAATTGGGCCAATTTCTCATGAAATTGGCTCCAATTAACTTTTTTGGTATGAGTACTCTAGTTGTTCTTCTAATGATTTTTTCTAAGTTAATTTCGAAAACAACACTGTTGTGGTCCGAGCTCGTGATGCCGCTCTCGACTCTCCAGTCCTCAACGAGATGGAGTCCCTCCGAGCAGGCTGTGAGGTCAGTGAAGCTGGTGTACTGCTTGCCTCCTCTGATGTTATCGAAGGTCGGATTGGTGCCGACGTTGAGTACCTGCAAGCCCATTTCCTCGAAGCTGTCAGAGACTTCTTCGCCCCTGCCGTCAATGATCGAGCCCCCCCAACAGGTGCTCTTTGCGTTGGCGTCGCAACTGACTAGTATGATACTTCAACTGACCCATTTCCTCCCGAATTCATTTCAAGTGCTCCAGGTATGGCTCTATGGGCTGGTCCGGTTCAAGATAGAATGAGACCACTGTGATCTCCCAGGCGCGGGTACGGATCTTTACCACCGTGATGTAATTGTTGGTAAGTTTCGGACACTCCGTCACGTCTAGTTCGTGGTCGAAGACGGCTGTCGCCGCCTTCACCGTTCTATCTCCTTGATCCGCGCACTGGAAGATTCTCACTCCTCGGCAGTCTCGCATCCCGCCCACATACGGCTCCTGGAGCAACGCCAAGGCAACTTTTCTTTCGCTTGCCGCTATTTGAAGTTGTTGAGTTGCAAGGTTTTTTCTCTGGAGGTCTGTTTGGTTAGATGGTATGGATCTCAAACACGTGTAGTTCCAAAAGAACGACGCCACGTGCCATACATCACAGGGAACATTAAATTTATTGGATGGGAAATTCAAAGGCTTCGTCATCTCGAGTGGTGGCGACATCAACTGGCCATCGAGATCGTGTGACTTAAGCCCACTCGACTGCTTTCTGTGTGGCTACGTGAAATCTCAACCATAACTCGCGCTGTTCGTGAAATTGAGCCCCATTTATGGGAAGATGTCATACAAAATTGGTCCATCAGGATACACCTACAGCAGTGCCGCGACGGCCATTTTGCTGAAATCATATTCCATACATAATCTCATCGAATACCCTTTGAAATAAAATAAAAATTGTGGCGATATCACTTAAAAAGTTTTTTTTTTTTTACGCTCATAATGAAAAACCCTTTATGTGTAAGTGTCCCGTCTACCGAGGGAACCGGTGGTCGTGTCGTCTGTCCGGCGTCTGGGTGACGGCGGGATGGATGTAATATGCTCTGCGTCAACCCTGTCCTGGCTTCTCAATGGCCCCGACTAGACTTCGACTTTGACGTTGAGTTTTTGATGAGGTTCAACTCCCACATACCAGACCCGGTTATTTTCTATTGTACAAAAAAATATATTTGTAAGTGTACATATAACTTAGTTTGGTGTGTTCCTTCTTTTGCTTATTTCTCTTTGTTTTATTTTTTGCTTATTTTAATTTTTTGTTTCTCTAGTATTTAAACTTTTTTTATATTAAATTCTACTTATGCTGATAGCCTTGAGAGGCTGTTTCAGCTTCAACCTAACGTGTAGGTGAGCTCACGAGCTCAACCTGAACGAGTTTGCTAACACTAGCCCTAGCAAGAGCAGTGCTTCGCAGAATCTACCATTGGATCGGAATCGCGACCCGCTTAGAAGATCCGATGAGGAACTCAGTGGGCAGACGCAGTGTAAGTATGCATCACCACCTTCTAGATCCAGCATCAGAACAAAAAAAAACTGGTACCAATTTAGAAAACTGTAAAAATACATTTTGACGGGAATCCAACGGTGCCATAATTAACAAAAAATATAAAAAAAAAACTTGTATTTAAGGATTTTACGGTTCGCATAATTTTACAATATAATTTTAAATTGATATGTAAAATAATAAATTACGTTCATTTTGTTCAACCCGGATCTAATTGATTTTTAAGCAAACCTAGTTTACCGTCTACTCTAGTTCTCTACCATATAAAAACGCGCGCCGAAAATCATAAAGCATTGCGAAGAAGATTCATTGAGGCAGCAGTCTTCATTCAGTAAGTCATTTTTTTTTATAGCTTAAAGTCGATTAAATGGGTGTCGGTCTATCGACCTTCAAGGGTATACACCTAAATTAGTTATAGATAAGCAACTCAAGCATTCAACAAAAATATTTACGGGCGTCGGCCACTAGATGGCTTCGCTTCGATTAGTTTCTCATTCCTCCTGTAGATGGCAGTAACATATTACCTACATTTTATTTTTAATGAAAGATTTTGTAAATTTTAAGAAACCACACATTGATAAAATGTAATCAATTTGTTTATAACAAATAAAGACTTGTATGATTTATGAGCACCCAACTAAGATAAATAAAAAATATAACACGTAATTATTTTTTAGCACTGATCCCAGATGTTAAACATTTGCAACTTACACTAAGATTATCGAGCTACCAAGCTATAAGTATTTCTACCTCATCTACATAATAAAGCTAAATTCTTTTGGTTAAAATTTGGTTAAAGTATAGTATTAAGAGGACCCTGGGAGGAGGCAGTCACCTCCCGGTGATGGTCACGGGGTGACCTAAGGGGGTTGAGGCTGCGCCGTACGCTACCGTCACTCTAGCGCGCTGGCTAGGCGGGAACCCTCCTACTCTGGCCGGGTTCTGACCCCGGACGGAGAATGGACGTCGGGTGTAAGAGTGCAGGGGAGTCGTTTAGTGCGGTAGGTCTAAAAATATTTCGAGCCTGCGGTCTACTCCCAACATCTGCAGATCGTCAAGTCCCACATACCTTGTAGGAGATACGGTACCGGCCTAAAAAAAAATTGGCTCTAATAGGACAACTCATCTCCCGACTGGTAAAGGTTTGTTCAGCCAACGCCCAAGGGCCAACTGTTTCGGCCATTGCTTGCATCAAGTGGCCGGGAGGAGGCTGACGATGGAGTGCCACCATTTTGGCTTCGACACAGCGAAGCACATCATGAGGAACATAGCGGAATTGTCGCTGGAGGAGTGTTTTTGTCCAGCTCCAGGCCATGTAAGAGGTAGCGTCTTAAGCAGATTGTTCGTAGCGACTGCAAGAACCGAACGCGCTACCTTATCAACATCATACACAAAAATCGACCGAATGGCGGTGTATCGCGTTCCGATACGGCAAACTGGCTCTCTGGTTAAGCGGGGTATTTCGAAGAAAATGGCACTTATCATAGACTTTTGTCTCACTGTCTGTCAGATCCAACTGCTGGTCTACAAACCGTCGAGACGATTCACCCCGGCCTTAGTTCTGGGTGAACCACAACCGACGCCATCTCCGGCTGGAATTTTTGTTATTTTACGTGTAAAAATAATTGGTCTTAAATACTTTTTCTTTGAAAAATGATCAGCAATCGAACCATGCCTCTTTCAGACCATGGCGTCGTCTTTCTTAGGAAGCCTGGTGGAATCTACATATCTGCCCTTGGAAACTGCAACGACCATCCTCACGATGGCAGGCCTTTTCAAGTGGCCCCCTCAAGCTAGAGTAAATGGTAATAAATTTTCGTGTACATTTTCGTCTGAAAATATATTTTCTTGTACTTGCCTTTAGTTGCGTTTTTCATTAAGAACGCTCACTATTTGCTACTGCCACAAATTTTTATTTATTTTAAAGCGTATTCGATTACATTATGTAGGGAATATAATTTCAGCCAAATGGCCGCGGCGACTCCGCTGTAGGTCGTGTACAAGTGACACCGTCCTGTTGGAACCACATGTTTGTGAGATCCATACAATCTAACCTAGGCCACAAAAAGTTTGTTATCATTATCCGATATCGGTCGCCGCTCATAGACATGACGTCGGCAATAAACAACTATTATTATATTAATTCTACAGATGGTGATCGTTTCGACTTCATCGTGATCGGGTCGGGTGTTGGAGCCGTCATCGCCAATAGATTAACAGAAAACGAAGATGTTCGAGTACTATTAATAGAAGCAGGAAAAAACCCCTCCGTCGAATCTATGGTGAGCGTTAAGATACGCGTATGCACCAGAATTCAATTCTAAAAAAATTCTTGTATGGGTAGACGAGCTCACAGCCAACCTAGTGTTAAATCGTTACCGGAGCCTATAGACAGGGACGCCTCCCTGGGACCTGGAAGCAGAGGCGCTCACTGCGGATTACGCGTGACGAAGTGATCTCCGCTCCAGAGGAGAGCCGCGTCCCGGCGCGGCGGAAGTTTGAGCGCGGAAACTTCAATCTCGGCGTGCCGTGCTCGAGGCGTTGTCTCGCCGCCTGGCGGACCCCGCCTACGGTCGACGGACCGTCGAGGCGATCCGCCCGGACTGGGTGAATCGTGACCGAGGACGTCTCACCTTCCGAGCGACGCAGGTGCTCACGGGACACGGCTGCTTCGGTCGCTACCTGCACCTCGTGGCCTGGAGGGAGCCGACGCCGAAGTGCCACGACTGCAATGGCTGCAACAAGGACACGGCGGAGCACACGCTCGCGTACTGCCCCGCTTTCGCGGAGCAGCGTCGTGTACTCGTTGCAAAAATAGGAGCGGACTTGTCGCTTCCGACCGTCGTGGCTACGATGCTCGGCAGCGACGAGTCCTGGCAGGCGATGCTCGACTTCTGCGAGTCCACCATTTCGCAGAAGGAGGCGTCGGAACGGGAGAGGGAGAGCTCTTCTTCCCTCTCGGCGCCGTACCGCCGCCGCCGAGCCGGGGCTCAGAGGAGGGCGTTTGTCCAGCTCCGGCCCCTATGAGGAGGCAGTCTCCTCCCGGTGCTGGTCACGGGGCGACCTAAGGGGGTTGAGGCTGCGCCGCACGCTACCGTTACTCTAGCGCGCTGGCACCAGGAGGACGGGACGACGCGTCGGCGGCTGCGGACTGCGATGCGGTCCGCATTTTCGTCGTCGCTGTCGTCGCCGAACATACTGTGGAAGAGCAACCCGGTCGGCGGTGTACCGCGTTCCAACCCGGCAGGCTGGTTCTGATCCAGCGGGGTATCCCGGAACACCAGCGGCATCGCCTGGGCGGCCTGGTAGGGCCGCCGTAACGCGGTGACCGACGTCGTTGGTCGTCGACTATCGCCTCGACGACCCGTCGGTCGGGCGGCCTCGGGGTGGCGCCGCGTGTCTGGTTGTAGTGTTGACCGCGGGAACCCCCTACTCTGACCGGGTTTTGACCCCAGACGGAGATCGGACGTCAGGTGTAAGAGTGCAAGGGAGTCGTTTAGTGGGTGGGCCCTAAATTCCTTGGGCCCGCGGTCTGCTCTCAACATCTGCAGATCGTTGAATCCCACATACCCCGCGCGCCCCCTAGGCACGGGGACCTCCAAGGAGGTTAGGCTGTCGGACCGAAAAAAAAAAAGCCTATAGACATCTACAACGTAAATGCCGCCACCCGCCTGGAGATATGGGGTCTAAGGTCTCAGTATAGTTACAACGGCAGCCCAATCCTTCAAACCGAAACGCGTTACTGCTTCACGGCAGAAAAAGCCTGGGTTGTGATACCTACCAGTGCGGATTTACAAGACGCCCTACCACCAGTATTTAACAACAATGTTTCCCCCTTCTCCTCCTTGCGACTCCTCTGCTGCGATCATTGGCCTCGTGAAGAGCATCGTGGACCTTGATGTCCAGACAAGACCGAATTTGGTCCGACCATCTCGTGGGACTTCGTCTTCTGGGACGTTTGCCCTCTATTCTGCTCGTCACCATCAGTTACTGAAGGCTGTGACCAGCCTTTCGAGAAACGTATCCAAAGAACTCCAATACTCTAAGAATGCACACAACAATATTTCAATATAACACAAATAACAAATTGTCAACGGTCGGCGGCAATTTAATTTATCATCAGCTTCCTGTTGAATTTTTTTGCCGCGAAGATGAACTCACGATAAAAATAAGGATAATGGATACCACAACATGAACCTATAGGCATGGGAAATTGGTCTCCACTCACCTTTACGATAGTAAACCAGCCAGGATAAGATAATTTACTGCATCGCGACAAAAAAAAGGCACCGCGATATCTCCCTATGCCAGCATTCAATAGTATAACATCAAATTGCCCATATTCTCTTCGAATTTTAACTAGAATAATTTAATGTATATATTTAAACGTATGAAAGTAGGTATGTATGTCAGTTTCCGGTACCCATAACACAGAAAATCCTAATTTGGCACCAGATAGATGACCGTGCGCGATGTGTATCCACATAATCATATTTATTTACGAACTTAAATCATGTCAATGTAACTTTATCGTTTCAGCTACCCGGTCTTTTTATTCTGCTCCAAAACTCGTACCAAGATTGGAACTATGTGTCCGAACCCGAAGAAGCTACAAAAAATCAACAATTCGGTGCCTATAGAACGTCCGCAGGAAAATGTCTGGGTGGAAGCAGCAATATCAATCATTTTATACATCTACGAGGAGATCCGTGCGACTTCGATTCTTGGGCAGCCTACCTTAAAGACGAAACTTGGTCTTATAAGAACGTTCTTCCGTATTTCCGGAAAAGTGAGACAGTCGAAGACGAAGACATCCTTAAATATTATGCCAATTTCCACGGTGTTGACGGTCGAGTAATTATAACCAGACAACCTGATGATTCCACCCGTAATATCATGGAGTCGTTCGAAGAAATTGGAGTACCATCGGTTTTAAACCTGAACACGAACAATACTGTTGGGTTCACGGAATCCTCTTTCATCATAGGCAACGGCCGAAGACAGAGTACTTCTCAAGCATACCTGAACAACTTGAATAGAGATAATTTGTATGTATTAACCGAAACTGTTGCTGAAAAAATTCTTTTCGAAGATAATGTAGCTGTAGGTGTCATCTTAAGGCTTGGAAGCGGTGAAAAGATTACTGTCTACGCTAATAGAGAAGTCATTGTCTCTGCCGGAACATTTAACAGTCCAAAGCTACTCATGCTCTCCGGAATAGGCCCAGCCGAAGAACTCCGAAAATTTGGCATTGATGTCATTAAAGATCTGCCTGTGGGCCAGGACATGCAAGATCATTTTGCCGTACTGCTACTCAACAAATTGGAAAGATCCTTAGAGATTTCCCAAATACCGCAATTAACACGATTGGCTTTCCCAGTTTTATTGGGAGGAATCAATTTGGACGATTCTAAAAGCTATCCGGATTATCAGATCATAGGTCTAAAGTTCACTCATGATACGCCTTATTTTCTCCTCACTTGCACTGTACTTTTCAGTTTGAAACACGAAATATGTTCAAAGCTCAACGCAGAAACGATCGGCAGGAACCACCTGGTGACATTTATAGGAGCTTTTCATCCAGAATCAAGAGGCTATGTAAAACTAAGAAGCGCAGACCCGAATGACGATCCGATCATATCCCAATCATTTTACAGCAATGCGAAAGACTTTGATAACATGAAAAAATATGTCAAACATTTCTTAACTGTATACAACTCATCTTATTTCCGAGAAATTAATGCGGAAGTGGCTGATCCGGGGCTGGATGAATGCGGGGAAATGTCCTTAGATAATGAAGATTATTTGGAGTGCTACATTAAGGGTATGACGGTAACGATTTTTCACCAGACGAGCACATGCGCTATGGGCAGCGTGGTGGATAGCAACATGCAAGTGTATGGTGTGGAGAACCTCCGAGTTATCGATGCCAGTACAATGCCCAACATTACCAGAGCCAATACTCTAGCGGCCTCCATTATGATGGCAGAGAAGATGAGTGATGTGATAAAAAAGAAATATAATCTTTAAGTGGATTTGTAGAAAATAAGTATGGAAAAAAATACAATGGACATTGATAAGATTCCATATTTATATGACAGCGCAACATTTGTTAGGATAACAATTAAATAATAAGATATACCTAACTTATTATTTAACTAAATACAATTATTTTTAATGTCCAAGGAGTTAATGCGGCTAGAAGCACGTAAGAGAATCGAAAAATTTAGGTAATCGAAAGTTTATGAATATAAAAAATTATCATAAACTTAAACCAAAATCCATTTTAGATCATAACTTTAAAAACAAAAGAACCAAAAGTAAATAAGAAATTACAATTGGAAATTTCTAGATAGGCGTGGCAAGGTGATAAACAGAAAATGATGGTTGTCAAATGCATCTATAACTTTTCTAGAATTCACTTTTAAACAAATTTAAGTTAGATTTTGGACGTCAACGCTCCTTGCTTCCGTGCGTTTGTGAGTGAACAAATAAGCCTTGACTTATTCAAAGCTCATATGAAATTCCCAGGGAGCTTGCTGAGTGTGCCACGTAGGGTACCGGTGGCACATTGCAGTCAAAATGTTAAAATGCTTTTATTCAGCCATCCATAAGCATTAGCTGTAATTGAGTTTTTTTTTATTGCCACGGGCCACCTGCTGGTGAGTGGTTACCGTCGCCCAAAGTCTTCAGCAATGCCAGGGGCAGAGCCAAGCCCCTGCCTACCGTTAAGACCCTTTCATCGCAAGTTACAGGTTCGACAAGGACGGTGACCAGTGCTTGAGGTGATCTACATTGGTCGGCAACCTTGTCAACTAAAATACCCAAATATAGATAATACACAATAGAAAGACTTTTTGGAACGACGTCCCTTATGGGACAATGCGGAGGAGTACCCTAACCGGGAAAAAACGTCCGTAACGTAAGATTTTTATTATTAAAATTTTGGCTAAGCGCCATCTGTTGATAGCAGCAGGAACTACGCAATCCTTTGTACTAATATAAATATTTTTTTATTTTATATTTTTATCAATAAAAATATCATAATAAAAAAAGTAGTTATACCCAAATAATTATTTTCTTTATACCTCGAATAGAACTTAAAATTAATATTTTTATATTAAGGACTTCGTTCCTATCCTTGTCCCACGACCACACATCTTTTTTTTAACATTTATACATATTTATAGTCTTGTGTTTCGAAAATGTTTTTACTCGTCTTCTACAAGCCAAGTTAATAAGTAATATTCCATGCCTGAACTAAACATACTGAGGAATAAAAAATACATCGAAATTTTCTGTGATATAAGTACCATTTACTTCTGATTGACTCTTTCACTTGTTTAATGTAACCGATTAATTAATAGGTTGGGGAAAAAGTCTTTACGCATTATAGTATGTATGAACTTGTAATAATATCTCTTTGGCTATACTATTTGTATCTGGCTGGTTTTGGTATAATTAAAAGTTTAAATTTTAAAGAAGATAATTCAAAATTAGGCATATGTGAGATTTTTATTTATTTTTCGTACTGTCAAGATGAGTGAATCTAATGGAGAAATTGGATACATTTAAAAATTTTACTAATAAAAAGATAAAAATGCAACTCAAGCCGCGAAAAAAATTTGCAATGTTTATGGACCTAGCGCAGTGTCTAGCACAAATTTGGTTTAAGCGTTTTCAATCCGGATATATTACGGATAAAATGGATGCCATTTTTGAAAAAGTGGAGCAAGATCGGCATATCAATAGTTACAACGTAGCTGAATAACTGGGAATTGACCACAAAACAGTTTTGGCGTATTTGACAAAAACTGGGAACACAAAAAAGCTCGATATTTGGGTACCTCACGAGCTCACTGAAAGAAATCTAATGAACCGTGTACTCATTTGTGATCCTTTATTACGACGAACCGAAACCGAACCATTTTTGAAGAAACTGATAACTGGTGAGAAAATGTGGATCACGTTCGACAAGAACGTGCGAAAAAGGTCGTTGTCAAAGGCCGGTCAGGCTTCACAGACTGTGGCGATACCCGAGTTAACTCGCAACAAGGTGATGTTGTGTGTGTGGTGGGATTGGAAGGGCATTTTTCAATATGAGCTGTTACCACCAGGCAGAACCGTCGATTCTGAATTTTACTGTGAACAACTGATGTGATTAAAGCAAGAAGTTGAAAAAAAGCGGCTGGAATTAATCAACAGAAGGGGTGTGGTTTTTCATTATTATAATACTTAGTCTGGCCAAAAATACTGTTACAATTAAAAATAAACAAAATGAGTCGTCTATTATCAAAGGTGGCAATCTGTGCATTTGGACAAAAAAAAAATTTTTGATATGTCAATACAGATTGATTTGAATATAATCGTCTCCTTCAAAGAATACGGTTCAAAACCTGCATTAAATAAAGGTTAATACTTAACCTGTTATTTATCTAAGATGTCGTTCAGAAGAGTTTTGTGGCTGCCAATGGAATACAAAGTCAATAATTCGTTTTTCTGATTTACCAATAATTGTCCAAAAGTCAGATTGCCGCCTTTGATAATAGTCGACTCAAATATTACATTTGAATTTGGAATCTGTAATTTTTATATTTTTTATTTATTTTATTTTATTTATTTCATTTACATCAGATTTTGCATCCATATTACACTCATTAACATTTCATTTATACTAGAATTAAATAAAAACAATAACTACAATCTCGGCCTAAAACAAAATCGACAATAATAATAATTAAAATAAAAAATCAAATAATAATAATAATAAAACACAAACTCAAAATTTACATCAAAACTACCTTAACCTAAAGGCTGGTTTGGATCCAGAGTGCTCAACATGCACACGTGTCCAGTGTTGCATTATTGGGCAGTCCAGATCCATTCGTGAGGCAAACAGCCTTAGGTAGCTGTTGCAACTAACCCGCACGCGGCGAACCAGGGAAGCAATTCGTTTGCGAATGATTGCTGCGAAGCTATCTATTCGCGCATCCGCAAACATCCCCGACGCACCGCAGTGACGCGGCAGCCACATCAGCGCTCTGAAAGCGTTATTATACTGGACACGCAGGGTGTTGTAGGATTTCTTGGTATACTTAACCCATAGTCTGCACGTGTAGAAAGACTGGCAGTATGCTCTGAAAAGAGTAGCTTTCACCTCTGCAGTACACCGCGCGAACCTACGGGCAGCATATTACCCCTGATTGACAACTCCCTGCGCTCCCTGTCCATGTCTACATCGTCTGCAAGCGTCTCAGTGACCCAGTGACCCAGATACTTGAATTGCGATACTTGCTTAAGGACACTGCCGTTGAGTATGACTGATGGGACAGTTTCGTAGGTTTTTCTGCCTGATTTAAATACCATCAGTTCGCTTTTAACGGCATTATATCTGAGCCCTTGTTCCTCCGCATAACGCTCGCATATCCTAATCAGCTTTCTGAGAGCCCTGATCGATGGGCTCAGCAACACCATATCGTCTGCATAACTGATATTATTAACAAACACACCATCAATAGAACAGCCGACATTGAAATTGCTGAGCCCACGAATCAGGCGGTCAATGTATAGGTTAAAAAGGCTTGGCGATGACAAGCCACCCTGTCTTACCCCACAATCCAGCCTGTACATATCCGACTGCGACCCCGACCACTTCACAAAGTTGCTTTGATTACCATACCAGTATTTCAAGAGAGAAACAAACTCATGAGGCAAGTCTGTATCATTCGACAACTTATGCCACAACCTGTCATACGCTACCAGATCATACGCTTTAGATTTTAGAAGTCTAAAAAAACAGGCGTATAAAGGAGTGCCTCTGTCTGTGTATTACTGGACGGTATGCTTGAGATTCAGTATAGCCGTTTCAGTCGAGAGTCCAGGTCGAAAGCCGAACTGGGCATCATGCAGCTTTACGTGTCTTCGTAACTGAATATCAATTACACCATCCAGTACCTTAGCGATGACTGTTGCGAGTGATACAGGTCTGTAGTTACCTAAACTGGATACATCCCCGGTTTTATTCTTAACTATCGGAACAACTACGGTCTTTATCATCGCTTCAGACAAATATGAATGGCCTACACAGAAAGTGAACAACATGGCAAGCACTCTGGGCAAGTGAAATGATTGCTCATTGAGTTTTCTCATTTTGGCGCCAATACATTGTACAATATTTTGCTATATTAAAATGGAGTGGGGTGATAAAGAGAACCGAATCGCTGTGATTGCATTACACAAAGTAGGTATGGAGCCAAATGCAGTTTTTAAAACTCTCCATACGCTTGGTATTAGTAAAATATTTGTGTACCGGGCTATTAATAGGTGCAATGAGACCTTCTCTGTTTGTGACAGAAAAAGATCTGGCCGTCCACGTAGTGTTCGTACGAAAAAGGTGGTCAAAGCAGTAAGGGAAATAATTCGAAGAAATCCTGTCCGAAAGCAAAAGATTTTATCTCGGGAGATGAAGATAGCACCTAGAACCATGTCGCGTATTTTAAAAGATGACTTAGGACTTGCAGCCTATAAGAGACGTACTGGTCATTTCTTAACTGATAATTTAAAAGAGAATAGGGTGGTAAAATCGAAACAACTACTGAAGCGGTACGCAAAGAGAGGTCATAGAAAATTTTTATTTTAACAAACAAAATGACCGTATTTATGCTCAAAGCTCTAAGGAAGCTTCCCAATTAGTCGACAGAGTGCAACGTGGGCACTATCCGACTTCAGTGATGGTTTGGTGGGGTATTAGCTATGAAGGAGTGACCGAGCCATACTTTTGTGAAAAAGGTATCAAAACATCGGCACAAGTGTATCAAGATACCATTCTTGAGACGGTAGTGAAGCCCCTTAACAACACCATGTTCAATAATCAAGAATGGTCCTTCCAGCAAGACTCGGCGCCAGGTCATATAGCTCGGCCTACGCAGTCTTGGTTGGAAACGAACGTTTCGGACTTCATCAGAGCTGAAGACTGGCCGTCGTCTAGTCCCGATCTTAATCCGCTGGATTATGATTTATGGTCAGTTTTAGAGAATACGGCTTGCTCTAAACGCCATGATAATTTGGAGTCCCTAAAACAATCCGTACGATTGGCAGTGAAAATTTTTCCCATGGAAAGAGTGCGTGCTTCTATTGATAACTGGCCTCAACGTTTAAAGGACTGTATTGCAGCCAATGGAGACCACTTCGAATAAGTTTTTTATACTTTAAATTGTTTTATATTTATGTATTTATGTATGTACTAACACACTGTAAAAGTAATAAATGTTATTTGCAATAGATTTTTTTTTTGTTTTCCTTTGTCTCAGTATTTATGGCAAGACTAGGTATATATCGTCATTAGTCAGTCAGCAAAAATTATAGCCGTATGGTCCTGACCTTGCACCTTCAGATTTGCACCTGTTTCGGTCTCTTCAGAATTCTTTAAGCAGTGTCAGGTTAACATCACGAGAGGACTGCCAAAACCAATTGTCGCGGTATTTTGATCAGAACCCCCAAAATTTCTATAGCAATGGGATCATGTCCCTACCTACAAGATAGCAAAAAGTTATGGAATAAAATGGTACCTACATACTTTAGTTAAATCTATGTAAATAAACTATATTAAAAAATGTGAATTTTCTTAAAAATGCGAAGAAACTTTTTCCCCAGCCGATTTATAATTGCTAGCAATCTTTAAAGTATAAATAAATAGATATTATTACAACGGTTAGAATTTAAAGAATAATGGGAGCGATATATTATGTGAAATTCAGAGAAAAAAAGGCAATTTTTCTATAGAATTTTATTTATTTTGAAGGCGCCAAGACATTTCTCTCAAAGGGAATATTCATTTTTAATGTCGTCACTTATCTTTTCCGCCATCATTATGCCAGCCGCCAAGGTATTGGCTCTGACGATAAAAGGCATGGTGCTCACATCGACAACCCGGAGGTTATCTATACCGTACACTTTCATTTTGCTGTCCACCACACTGCCCATGGCACATGTACCGGAGTAATGGAACAGGTGGACGGTCATGGACTTGATGTAACACTTCCAATAATCCTCACTACTGACGTCCATCTCACCGCATTCTTCCAAGCCGGGATCAGCTATTTCCGCTTTTATATCTTGGAAATAAGCGGAATTGTAAATAGTTAAAAAATGAGTTAGATACTTTTGCATGTTAGTAAAATCTTCGGGATCGGAATAAAATGATTCTGATATAACTAGTTTGTCATCTGGATCTGAACTTTTTAGCTGCACGTAGCCCCTGGATTTTGGTTGGGATGTGCCTATTAATGAAATGAATTGGTTCCTACCGGCGACGCTTTCGCTAAAGTTCGAGCATATTTCGTCGGTGAAGCTAAAGAGGGTCGAACAAGTAACATCGGTGTAGCCTTTGTCCTGGGCGAATACAAGTCCAATAAGCAGATAGTCGGCGTAGCTTTTAGAATCGTCTAGGTTGACGCTAGCCAATAGAATAGGGAACGGAAATTTTGTTAATGGTAATGTTTCCGAAGTCGCCGTTGATTCTTCCAATTTGTTGACTAGGAAAAGTGCATTGTGGTCCTGCATTCCCTGGCCCACAGGTAGATCTTTGATGACGTCAATGCCCATGCTTTTCAGGTGATCAGCTGGCCCGATACCAGAGAGCATTAGTATTTTTGGACTGTTGAATGATCCGGCCGATATAATAACTTCTTTGCTAGCGTAAACATTGATTTTCTTGCCGCTCGCTAGCCGCAAGATGACACCTTTAGCTATGTCGTTTTCGATGATGATTTTTTCTGCTAATGTTTCGGTAAGCACGTACAGATTATCTCTAGTTTTTTTATTTAGGTACGCGTAAGCAGTGCTCTGTCGCACACCGTCACCTATGATGTATGAAGCCTCTGCACATCCAACGTTGTCATCCGCGTTCAAGTCAATCACCGTTGGCACTCCGATATCGCTAAAAGCCTTCAATAAGTTGTGCGTAGCGTCATCGGGCTGCCTAGATACGATCACTGGACCTTCAGTCCCGTGGTAGTCGGCGTGACTGGCCATAATATCTGCGTCTTGCATGTTCTCCGATTTCTTGAAGTACTTACGGACGTTTGCGGATGACCAAGAGTCGTCTCCAAGGTAGGACGCCCAAGTATCGAAGTCGTCCTTGTCTCCTCGGAGATGGAGTAGGTGATTGATAGTGCTGCCTCCGCCCAAGGCTTTTCCCGTCGACAGCTTGTACGCGCCGATCTTTTGGTGTTTCGTTGTGCTCTCCGGGATCGATGTCTCGTTCCAGTCCTCGTATGAATTTTGGAGTAAAGGAAAAGTTCCAGGCATCTTTGAAAACGAAATTAAAATTTTTACAATCCGAATTACCATCGTTTATGAAGTGTCTTGAGACTTGGATTTATTTATGACATTAGATTGGAAATTTCCATTATCATTTTTTTTTTATTGCTTAGTTGGGTGGACGAGCTCACGGCCCACCTGATGTTAAGTGGTTACCGAAGCCCATAGACATCTACAATGTAAATGCAGCCACCCTCCTTGAGACATGAGTTGTAAGGTCTCACTTTTAACAGTATCATGATCCCATTTAATTATGTACACAGAGTACCAAACGGTAGGCAGAGGCTTAGCTCTGCCCATGACATTGCTGATGCCCATGAGCGACGATAACTTCTCACCATTGGGTGGGCAGTATGGTCGTCTATCTAAACGGCTAATAAAAAAATGTACATGGAGATAATACAGTGTGCGCTCCTTCATTCCATCCAATCTTTCATTGAATTTTATTGCTGCAGATAACAGATGCACAGTTCACTTCATGTTAAGTGGGTACTGGTGTCCATGGATATTCAATAAATTACGTACATGTTAAAGTTTAATAACTACTAACGCCACTATTTTCGACCTAATTAATTACGGATCTACTTTTGCTCTAAGGTTTTGAGTTTAAGCCATAATTGCAATGACCCAAAAAGGACTCAATCGTTTCGCATTATGAAATATTGTATTCCAAGGGTTATCAGCTAGTCACTGTGAACGTGACTTTACTGGTGGTAGGACCTCTTGTGAGTCCGCGCGGGTAGGTACCACCACGCTGCCTATTTCTGCCGTGAAGCAGTAATGCGTTTCGGTTTGAAGGGTTGGGCAGCCGTTGTAACTATACTTGAGACCTTAAAACTTATATCTCAAGGTGGGAGGTGCATTTACGTTGTAGATGTCTATGGGCTCCAGTAATCACTTAACACCAGGTGGGCTGTGAGCTTGTCCAACCATCTAAGCAATAAAAATAAAAAAACAAAATCGCGACTTAATTAGTCGGAAGAGATGGTCGGGCCAATCGCCAACAGTGACTCGATATATTCTTAACGTAAATAATACTCACAATAGATTCGTTCGACGGGTATGTTCCTGCTTCAATCAAAAGAACTCGCACTGAACTGTTTTCCGACAGTCTATCAGCCACAATAGCTCCACACCCCGATCCGACAACGACGAAATCAAAGGTGTCACCATCTGAGGAATTCAAGGTTTGCATTGGAACTTGCGGTAGGAGAATGATTCTGTCCTTCTATTGGTAACTTTTTATTATGATGACAATCAATTGGTGGCGTTTCCGGGGAAACACCTATTCAAAAATCCCTCGTTTCCTTAGAGATATGAAAAATCTTTCATATATTCCACGTTACCAAAAAATAACCAAATTTTAACGACAAAAAACACCGAAAGGGTTACTTTTTTTTAATTTTTTTATTGCTTAGATGGGTGGACGAGTTAAGTAGTTACTGGCGCCCATAGACATCTACCACGTAAATGCTCCACCCACCTTGAGAAATAAGTTCTAAAGTCTCAGTATAGTTATAATGGCTGCCCCACCCTTCAAACCGAAACGCTTTACAGCTTCACGGCAGAAATAAGCACGGTACGTACCTACCCGCGCGGACTCACAAGACCCCTACCACCAGTCTCTCCCTGTTAAAAATTTGGCAAAAGTTACCAAATTTTAACTATAAAGACCAAAAGGCCTACTTTTGAGGACACCATATTTATTCGTAACGGACGAAATCCCCAAACTATTGGTGTTCAAATTCTTACCCTGCACTATTGCTTGGGGAGGCCACTGGAACAAATACGCCAAAGCCAAAACCGCTGTTGCCGCGTCTGCCATGATCTGAAAACCAGTTAATCATACAAAATGGAATGTTGGTTGACCGTAAGCAATGCTTCAAACTAAACAGGCAAGATCTTCTACCGAGCTAATGAAATTACTAAGTCGGTGTACATTTTCTTAATTCTTGGTGCTTGGGTGAAAAAGTTACTGTAGGTTTGCTTAGTGGATTCAGCTCCCTTCCCTGGGCCCAACTTAACAAGTGAAAATTTGTTGATTTAAAATCTCGCTAATAAAAGCCTTTCTTTCCAAGGAGCTTTGATAAGGTGATATGAGGATTATATTTTAAATCAGACTATAACATGTACGCATATGGATGAGACATGATAATTTTCTTGATGCTGTGGATAGTGGATGAGAGCGGATATTATGGTTATTAGAGCCGTAATATCCGCTCTCATCCACATAATGTTACATTTTTAGAGTCACACTTAATCTGTTTGCTCTATGCTACACTCGCAAGGAAAAGGCAACAACTTATTAAGTATTTGCCAAATTAAGTTTAATATATGTTATTGAATAAAGCGGTCATAATAAACACGAGCTTACTATAAATATTTTAACAATGAAAACAATCGCTTTAGTAAAATGCCAAAAAATATTTTAACGCTTACATAGATGGACTATTTCGCGATCTACTTGGTGTTAAGTGGTTATCGGAGCCAATTAATAACGTAAACGCAGTCATCTTGAAACCTTAGTTATAAATTTCAGTTGTACAGTACAACGGCTGCCCCATCCTTCAGGCCGAAACGCGTCATGGCAGAACTAGGCAAGGTGGTGGTACCTACCCGCGCAGTCACCCAAGACACTCCGCCACCAGCGAGACTAATTAAAAATTTACATAAACAATTTTTTTTCCTGCTGTTTCTAGTCAGGACATCAGATCGAAATATGCAAATGTGTGAAAATTCTTAGTGGTTTTGTGTGTAAATTTTCAAGTTAATACGACCTCTTGAAGTTAGTGAAAATTACATTTAAGTACTCAGTTATACTCTAATAAAGGGTGTCCCAGAAATAATGGATAGTCCTGAAACACCTCATTGCAGAGAGCTATTGGAGACTCCAAAAAAAAAAAAAAAATCTTGACTGGTACCCAAATTACGTATTAAAAAAAAACATAATATTCCATACTACTCCGCGTTTCTGTAATATACAACAGCTACAAACATATGAAGTCCATAGGGTTTTTGTGTCCCCAATAGCTCTACTCTGAGGTGTTTCAGGATTATCCACTCTTTCTGGGACATCCTATATATATCATATATAGATAAAGGTTGAAATAATGAAAGCGTGTTAATTAGAAGTTACTTACTGGATATTGCTGCTGCGATGAATCTTCTTCACAATGTTCTAAGATCTTCGACGTACGTTTTTATATAGTAGAGATGAATACGAAAAATTTGCTTTGTTTAAAATACAATTAGATCCGGTTTTAAAAACGAACGTAATTTATTAATAATTCACATATAAATTTAATATTAAATTAGAAAATTTGCGTATCGTAAAAATTATAGCATATCCAATTGTGTTTGCTTCAAATAAAACATTTTCAGGCGATTTTTTACTAATGATGACACCGCAGGTTTCCCGCCAAGAAATATAATTTACGGGTTACTAAAATAGTACCAGTTTATTTGTTCTGATGCTGGATCTAGGAGGTGGTGATGCATACTTACATTACGTCGGCTCACTGAGTTTCTCGCCGGATCTTCTCAGTGAGTCGCGATTCTGATCCAGTGGATGCTCTAGCTAGGGCTAATGTTATTCTCTCAGGTTGAGCCCATGAGCTCACCTACCGGTCAGCGCGTAGCTGGAATAGACTCTTAGGCTAACAGTGAACAGGTAGGGGAAAAAAACTGCGATTACTTACTTAACCGAATAAGTATTTTCTGCTTTCTAATACTATATTAAGCTATTTCATAGCTTTTATCGCAGGCCTTGAGCGCGGCGACCGAATCATGAAATTCCGTAACGAAAAAAACCTTACACACCTCACTCAGCCTACCATGTAGCTCGCGTTCAATACATTCACACGTTGCGCTTGTGTAGGGACAGTTAAGGTTTTGCTTTTATTTATGTTAAATATAGCGTGGTCTTGTTTTATTATTGTTTTAATATTAAATTATCATTGTCTAATTATTATATAATTGCATAAGTTGATAAAAAATGCTATGCAATAGCTTTACCGCGGCAGTCCCCGAGTGCCACAGGTTTTTTTTTTTTTGGCCCTTGTATGCAGGCTCTTCGAGGCACATTCACGGCATGATGTCCATTGGTTCCAACAACTCAACACCGGTGGTCCGTGAGCTCGTTCATCCATGCACGCAATAAGAGTCAGCTTTTTGAGGAGCATGGCCTCATAGACTGGACAAGGCTGCGGGTTTCGTATCTGAGCCACTCTGCTATGGAACGCCAAAATATATTTGGAGATGTTTGCGCAGCTTTCAAATTTGAATAAAATCGTATTATCATTTATTACATGACGTTTATTTTCGTTCATTATCTTTCAAATCATTTTAATGAGATAATAAGACATTTTAATGATCCAATTGTTACAATGTGTTTAAAGAATGTATTTAAATTAACGCGTGTCCGTTCTGTTTGTACTGTTTTAAAAATATCTCTTAATTATTTGAAGAGGTGTTAGCGGAAAGCAGGAAGTAATTGAAGTCGCTCGTATTTGAGACAGAGCTTAGTTCGAAGTCACTCGGTCCTTGTAGCGAGAACCGGACAAATGACGTTTGTGGATATTCATTTCATTTTTTTAATTATAAAAGTATGTGATTTGGAGTGGACAAAGCTTAAATTTATTCTGCTCCAGTGGGTCATGATGGTATAGATCCCATTCCACGACGCCGTTCATGCGGCCAATGATCGGAGGCGCTGGCGGGACATTACAAGGAGTAAAATCATGTCGAATTATAATGGTCACGACCCTCAGCAGTGACGAAACGACGCGAGGTGGAGGGTCATGATGGCCATGTGTTGCCAACCGGGTAAATTTTGGATGTACATTGAATTTTTATTGGTGATAGGGCGTTTTATGAGCCCATACGGGTAGGTACAAACACCCTGCCTATTTCAGCCGTGAAGCAGCCGTTGTTACTATACTGAGACCTCAGAACTCTTATCTCAAGGTGGGTGGCGCATTTACGTTGTAGACGACTATGGGCTCCAGTAACCACTTAACACCAGGTAGGCTGTGAGCTCGTCCACCCATCTAAGCAATAAAATAAAAAAACAGCTGCCTCGTCTTCTCCTTAGACCTTAACTCCATCCACTGCCAAATCTAATACAGTTTAATCCATCAGATAGTACGAGGGCGGCACTGAAAATTTCAGGAATTAACGAAGTGACACAACATTACTATTTAAAAATGTATTTATTGCTTTTCGAAGTATTCTCCGCGAAATTTGATACATTTTTCCATACGATGGAACCAATCATTGAAGTAACCATTCCATTCGGAAGTTGGGGTCTCCAAAATGGCCGTTTTGTAGGCGTCCACAGCTTCTTCAGGTGATGAAAATCTCTGTCCACGCAATTTATTCTTTATTTTAGGGAAAGTATAGAAATCATTAGGGCTTAGGTCGGGGCTGTACGGCGGATGGTCTAATAATTCTATGTTTTCTTGCTCTAAAAACTCTTTTGTTCTGTGCGCNGTCTCAGGTCCATTAGACGAGCATTCAAACGATGTCCTGTTTTTCTTCGATATGCCCGAAGCCCTAAGTCTTCATTTAACACCCTTTTCACCGTGGTTCTGCTTAACCCCATCTGAAGGGCCAACAGTTTCTGCTTACGTTTGGGATTTCTTTGAATTCGCGCCTTCACAGCTTTTATCACTGCTGGAGTTCTAACAGATCGAGGGCGACCACTTCTTGACCTGTCATCTACACTAGAGTCTTCATTGTATCGTTTGATGGTACGATTAACGAATCTTTTGGTTATATTCAAATTTTTCAGTATGTTAAAAATTTGAATTGGCGCGTAACCGCAACGATGCAACGCAATAACTGCAACACGGTCTTCTTTAAGCGTCCACTCCATATTTAAAAATGAGTAAAATTCTAAAAGTATACATTTTTATTTTCATGGACAATTCGAAATTCGAATTCAATAAACTTTTTTGTGGCCAGTTTGGGAAGATATAACGACAAAGGGAAGATATTCCACCGAGCGGGTGATATTGCTCGGTAGACCGACGGTCCGAATGTTGTTGTTCGGAACTTGTATATATGCGCTTTATCTTGAAAATGTCGTAAGCGAGATTCAGGCATCTGTCAAATATCTTGTGTTCTGTGATGGCTACCGCCACACCACTCCCCTCCGAGACTGGAGGTCGTGTCATTTAGTAAGCGTTGTCCGTGCTGAGAGTAGCTTGCAAAGGCCAGTGCTGCTCGAAACCTGCGGTGAGTCGAGGCTGAGCTTGAATGCTGCGTGCGTGTCGCCAGTGCTGCTCGAAGTTTGCAGTGAGTCGAAACTGAGCTGAATGCTGCGTTATTGTCGCCAGTGCTGCTCGAAGTCTGCGGTGAGTTGAGACTGAGCTTGAATGTTGCGTGCGTGTCGTGCGTAGTCCATGTGATGCAGAGCTGCCACGCCGGAGATGTGTGACCCCAAGCGTTGATAATCCGGTCGTGGGCTGCGATGAACTGTAGCGGCGTGATGAGGCAGTGAAGTTGCGTGCCGTAGGACCAGGAAGCGCGGTGAGTCGGCTGCGATGGTCCTGTTGAGGCTGCGATGCTGGCTTGCTGTGGGACGACTGTCAATGACGTGCTTTTATCTGCGAGAATGCGGGGATTGTGGTAGCCGAAGTTCTTGATGCCCTGATGATGAATCAGAAGGTTGCGTGTTCACATCTCGTCGCAGGTCACCAGTTTAGGGTAGTTTATAGACCGGCGGTCTACCGAGCAAATATCATCCGCTCGGTGGAAGATCTTCCCTTTGTCGTCTAAGCCTTCCCAAAGCCAGCATTCTAAAATAAAAGTTTTTACTGTGTGACAATACTTATGACCTGACTAGTTATACTTGAATA